TATAGGCTGCGGAACAAAGCCGGCCTCGGCATCCCGGAGCTTATCTCTAGCTGTCGGCGGACCTATATCTAGCGGCCATATGTGCCCAGATATTCCCGCCGCGGCGGGCGCTGGGTGATGTTTCGCTGGCTTTGAAGCCGCCCCGGCAGCGGAGAGCGGTATCCCCTTACACATTCTCCTCCAGAAATAGCTTGGGATGAGCCGCCGGGGCCACGCCGGCCAGGAAAAAAAAAATCCTCCATCCTCGTCTCCTGCGGGGGCAGCTTTTCCGGGAGTGCTGGTGTCCCCCGGCCGCTGGCAGCTCCTCCTCCTCTTCTTCCTCGGCAGGGGAGGTGCGGGAGGGGACGCGGCGGCCGCCGGGATCTGAAATTCAGGCTGTTGTGGCGCCGCGTTGGGAGGTTGGGGTTGAGGTTGACAAAGGTGGAGGTTGGGGTTGAGGAATTTGGGGTTGAGGTTGGGTTGAGGAAGTTGAGGTTGGGGTTGAGGTTGACAAAGGGGGAGGTTGGGGTTGAGGAATTTGGGGTTGAGGAAGTTGAGGTTGGGGTTGAGGTTGACAAAGGGGGAGGTTGGGGTTGAGGAATTTGGGGTTGAGGAAGTTGAGGTTGGGGTTGAGGTTGACAAAGGGGGAGGTTGGGGTTGAGGAATTTGGGGTTGAGGAAGTTGAGGTTGGGGTTGAGGTTGACAAAGGGGGAGGTTGGGGTTGAGGAATTTGGGGTTGAGGAAGTTGAGGTTGGGGTTGAGGTTGACAAAGGGGGAGGTTGGGGTTGAGGAATTTGGGGTTGAGGAAGTTGAGGTTGGGGTTGAGGTTGACAAAGGGGGAGGTTGGGGTTGAGGAATTTGGGGTTGAGGAAGTTGAGGTTGGGGTTGAGGTTGACAAAGGGGGAGGTTGGGGTTGAGGAATTTGGGGTTGAGGAAGTTGAGGTTGGGGTTGAGGTTGACAAAGGGGGAGGTTGGGGTTGAGGAATTTGGGGTTGAGGTTGGGTTGAGGAATTCAGGGTTGAGGACATTGGGATTGAGGTTGGGTTGAGGAGTTTGAGGTTGAGGAATTTGAGGTTGGGGTTGAGGTTGAGGAAGTTGAGGTTGGGTTGAGGAATTTAGGGTTGAGGTTGCTTTGAGGAAATTGAGGTTGGGGTTGAGGTTGACGAGGTTGAGGTTGGGTTGAGGAATTTGGGGTTGAGGAAGTTGAGGTTGGGGTTTTGGTTGACAAGGTTGAGGTTGGGTTGGGGAATT